TTTGAGGAGCATCCACCATAGATCCAAGTCCGATTCGATAAGTAGGAAATAGGAATTACTATTGTTCTCTCCACTCCCCCCCCCCACACCTCCACCTCAATCCCTTCATCTCTCCACCCTCCACATACTGCATATTTAGTGGCTCCTCCAAACCGTCAACCATCCAGTTCCCTACAACTTCCCTAAAATAGTCACTCGCTATGTACACCGTGGGGTTCATAAATAATTGTTTCTTCTTCAACGGACAAAATGTACGACAGATTTACTGTCATGGATAAAAGCAATATGACCAAGAGAACTTTCAATTTTAGTCGAAATCTAAATCGATGACTATTCCACACCGGGGTTTGGGTCTAAGCTCCCCAACCAACATTTCGTTTGGGGATCAGGTTTTGCATCTCTTCGACAACCTCTAACCAATACAACAACAACAACAACAACCAAATAACAACTAATATATCAAAACACACCAACTCACCTCACTTCACCATCCACTTCTTCTTCTTCTTCTTCTTCCTCCTCTTTGTCTTCTCCCCAAACGTAAACAACTAGTTAATAGACTGCACCTGCGGTGTGTGCGAAAACACGACCTGCCAACAATGCGAAGGTATTCAGCAAACCAAGTAGAGCCCTTCAATGCATGTTCCATGAAGTTCCAAACATACAATTCAGAATAAAGCAACCATTCGGGCACAATCATCTCACTTCTTGATGATAGACATTCTGCTGCGGCCATCACTCAGAGCATCAACACGGCAAGCCCACTAAGCATCCAAAGACCACACACTGAAAACAATCATTCTTCCGACCTCCTCGTGCCTGCCAATTGTTGCATTAAATGAACAATCTCCACCCAGTAGATTCCTGCAATTCCACTGTATTTTTGACAGTCCTATAGGAAGCCGAAACAGCCACTACGTCTTCCTCTGCATTATGCTTGTTGGAGCAACACATATTGGCCCTCCCATATTTTTAAATTTAAATTAGTACTTTCTCCACCAATATTTCTCCTCTGACATCGATGGAAAGATCAGACCATTGTGGGGCTCATTAGGTGGGACTTCTGCAGGACCCAGTTTCTCGATCAAAAGTAATGCAAGTTGCTCCACAATAGAAGTCTCTTTGTTTACCCAATGGCAAGTGAGAAAATCACACCTTCATCTGCACCACCATCAACAGGGCGTTTTGAGAGAGCCATTCCACTCTGGGAGGCAATGAATGTTGTTTGGCAACAGGTATTACTCATTCAGTACAACCTGCCAAAAATGATCCATTAATTAAAGTTTCATAAAAAACAATGATCCCTTCTACCTTTGAATAAGCGTCACATGAGTTAGCAAAACTACAACTAACCAAAAGTAGACAACAAAAAGCTTAAAAAGCAGTCTCGTAAAAAGCGCCTTCGCAATCCTAAGGTTAATCGGTATAAAGCATATTCAAAAAACAAACACCTGTTTTATAAATGAAACCAGTATATTGCAAATAATCAAATTATTCCCTATTCAAAGATCTGTCGAGGCATTCATTATTCTTAACTATTCCATGTAGGTCATATTTACAGAACCACATAATCATTTTTTTAATAAATGCAAGCATTTACATTCCAATGTTTATCCAAAAACTTGCCTATTTGAAGAGACTAATTAGGAACCACCGAATGCCAAATTAGTATCTTAAATCAAACCTCCACCTCCAAATTGTCGATTCAGTCAACTTGTGCGCTATCATATTCTGAATAATTGGAATTAGAGGAGTTTCCAATTGTTAGATAAGAAATCGAGTCACCGTTTTAGCAAATGGATTAGAACCAAATTCTTTATTATTATTATTATTCTCTGCATCTTTTCATCGTCGCAATGCAATCTCTCTATTACACAACATGATGAATCTAAGTATTACACAATTTATTTACAATTCATTGATTCAATCTCCCAAGCACTTTGCGTTATGTTATAATCAACGAAACCGACCTCACACGAGATTCCGCTGATCGAGTCAATTATTTGAAGAAAGTGGGTGCTCATATAACTTATTTGAGTAAGGACTACTTAGGGTTCTCTCAGGATATTCGAGCAGGATCTTAATCAAGACACTAACCAATAGTGAAATACTCTGTTTACGATGTTTGTCTCTATTTGAGACAATTTCTCTTAGATGTGTGATATCTGACAATGAAGATGATTCTTAATAGTCAAGTATGTAATTGATTGACTAAACTTCTCATTTGTTGTCGCATTCATCTTCCATTTGAGTCTTCTCGAGGACTCATCATCATCATCATCATCATCAGTGTTTAATGGCGTACACACTAATGGCGTAACCCACATTTGTCTGTAACTCCGTCTCAAATTCAATTTGTAGAAAAATTCCATCATTTACTTTTCCTGAATTCTATTTTTTTTGTTGGTTTTGAATGAGCAATTAACTTCAAATTTCACATTCAAATATCTCCGTTTCGTCATTTTCACTATAACTCTATTTGCTTGATTTGATACTTAGATTTAGATGGTAGCGGTAACTAACAAATATCCCAAATTGCAGATTCTTAATCGAGGTTAAGGCGAAAATATTGGTTTCAAGTTATAAAACAGTACCGACACATATCTTGCAAAATTCAAATTCGTAAAAGTTACATACAAATTAGACCCTTGAATTAGAAATTCATGAATAAACAAGTATTCCGACAACTTTGGATGGTTTAATAAATCACAAAATTAATTTGCTTATGGCAATTTCAATGTCTACTATCGATGTGCTACCAGGACAGGAAATCGTCCAAAATTATTAGACGTATTAAAATTGAAATGTGCATTTCTTAAAGTACTGCCAAATTACTTAGATCATAAATAAATTTAAATATCCCCTTTACTGTCTAATGACCATAAAGACTAACACAAACTTACTATCTTTTCATAATTAGTAAAAGATTGAGAGGGAGATCTTTCCATGGTTGAGTATCTTACACATATGGCAGAGGTATCAATCAGTGAGTAATCAATACAAAGAGAAACCGGCCTAACCACCACCCCCCCCCGTCCCACCAACATTTTGGATACACAGCCATCGGAGGCCACGGCAAGGTTGTTTTAAAAATGCAGGTAGCTTACAAGTGCGTACATGCCGACCGTTGTGAGTAACAACGAGTACTAAAATCTATTTATCAAAGGAAACGTCATTATCAAAGAGGGCTATGATTCATTAAAGCTTTAAGGATCCATCATATCATGGTTGCAGGATATTTCTCACTCGATCTCTGTGGTGCAAACATAAGTGACATTTTAAAGCTCAGAGTCAATGTAGGAATATGAGGCTTAGGGTCAGCTAGTGGCTAGCACTTACCTTATGGCAAGCATTGCAAAACATTACCTACTTCATTATGACACGAAGATTATTTTGATGAGAATCGAAGTGTCGATTCGTCGGTAGGTTCAACAGGACATGTGTTGCAATTGGTTATACGCATTGTTTTGGCTATCCTGGAAAACAAGTTGAAAGTGTTCGAACCAATTAGTACAATTTCGTGCGTTGGCGGTACTTTGAGGTCTCTATGCCGCACCTCGTTATTGAATGGCACGTAGTTGTGTGGTTTCGTACAGAGCCCAGAAATCGCATTGGGATTGAATGGGGGGAGGGGCTATTTCGATTTGAACTTCACTGTCAGTCGTAATGGTCGAGCGTATACTGCATTTGTCAAATCGTTTTAGAAAAAGTTATTACATATTTACATCATTTTATAAAACGGTTATTGAATGTTGAATAGTACTATAAGATAGCCTAGTGCCCTACTAAGGCCGAGGTGATGAAGGCGGTTAAGGGGAGCAAGTGCATTCATGATGGATGTCAGCACCAAGAATGGAGTTTAACCAAACTTCCAACTGAACTTCCATCAAGCATCACAATTGAGTTTGATGAGAAGCCAATCAATTTTAATATTGGAAGGCTTTACCGTACAACAGACAAAACCAGAGTAATAGGAATGCCATTGACTTATACACTAGGGTGTAAAGATAACGTTTAGATTGAGACTTGCCCACCGATAAATAACAACTAAAACCCCTTTTATAACCTGACTGAGAGATCCTCATAGGCTTTTGATATTTCTATACTTCATTCTTCGTTATTTGCAAATATTAATCAGATTCACCTTTGGAAATATTTTGAATCATTTGCCATATAGATTCCTATTTGTTTCAAATCGCCCTAATATTTAATTTCGTTTCGAGCGAACTTTTTATAGACATTACATTATTCTGATGCTAATGTATCGGTCTTTGTTCAATGATAGTTACTTTGTTAATGCACGCCTATCTCCTTGAGGATTTTCAACTTGATTTGATCTTAAAAATGACGTTGAAAGTGAACGTATTTTAAGCCATAAATTGGGAACGAACAGATCTCTTTCCAGTAGTAAAGTCTTCATTTATATCAAATGGTAGGCTTTATGGTAGTTATATTGGCCCTTCAATTGACTTCGGGCTTCACGGAGCCGAAGGAAAATCAAATTAAAAAAAGTCGAGAGGGGGGAACAGAAGAGTATTTCAAAGATGTAAGAGTCAAACACAAAGGTAGAAAAAAGGTGAGGTGAGTACTGTGAAATAGTTGAATATGGCATTGAGTGAGGCGAGTGCTGTTGAAGGGGTTGAATATGACAAGCAGTCGGGCTGATTGGTAGTTTGAAGTGAGAAGTCAACTGCCGGTTGATAGACGTAGTTTGAAGTCAGAAGTCAACTGCCGGTTGATAGACTTGTGGTCATGGTAGTTTGAAGTCAGAAGTCAACTGCCGGTTTGTGTGAGTACTGTGAAAATGATCGAATATGACATGGAGTCAGCGAGTACTGTGGAAGTAGTCGAATATGACATACAGTGGGGCGAGTGCTGTTGAAGGGGTTGAATATGACAAGCAGTCGGGCTGATTGGTAGTTTGAAGTGAGAAGTCAACTGCCGGTTGATAGACGTAGTTTGAAGTCAGAAGTCAACTGCCGGTTGATAGACTTGATGGTAATTGAAGTCAGAAGTCAACTGCCGATTAATAGACTTGTACCGTTAAAGTAAGATGAGTACTTTGAAAGGGGTCGAATATGACATACAGTGTGGGTGATGGATACTGTAAAAGTGGTAGAATACGGCATTCAGTGGGGTTAGTACTGTGGTAGGGGTCGAATATGACATACAGTGGGGTGGTGGCGTACTGTGGAAGGGGTCGAATATGACATACAGTGGGGTGAGCTACTGTGGAAATAGTCAGAAGTCAACTGCCGATTAATAGACTTTTTGATTTTCAGTCAGAAGTCAACTGCCGGTTTATAGACTTTTTTGCCGTTTGAGTAGTCAGAAGTCAACTGCCGGTTAATAGACTTTTTTGTGAAGTGAGAAGTCAACTGCCAGTTAATAGACCTTTTTGCGTTGAAGTCAGAAGTCAACTGCCGGTTAATAGAATTTTTTTGCCGATAGTGAGAAGTCAACTGCCGGTTTATAGACTTTTTTGCCGCTTTGAAGTCAGAAGTCAACTGCCGAATAATAGACTTTTTTAAGAAGTCAACTGCCAGTTAATAGACTTTTTTTGCCGTATGGCCGTATGATTATACGTTGCCCAGGGTGCACCACGTGGAGGTAAGTCTATTGAAAAACGAATGCCGAGTGATAGAATTTTTGCCGTAAGAAAGTACGTTGCCCAGGGTGCACCACGTGGAGGTAAGTCTATCGTCGTTGCCCAGGGTGCACCACGTGGAGGTAAGTCTATCGCAAACCCCTCATCGAGGAAAGTAAAGACCACGCGAATTTCTGGTTGAGAATTGCTCTATTAAAGCTAAATTTCTTACTCTTCAATAGGTTGTAATAAAAAGACAAAGGAAACAGAAGATGGAACAAAATATTATATGCATTGGAGTGGCAAATCCAGGAGAGCTGAACAGAATGTCACAAATAGAAATCAATCAGCGGGATATAGGATATGCAAAATTTGCAAAAAAGGTTGCTTTAAATTGTTTATTTCGTTCACCTTCGTAAATGAATTGCAATCTATGGTACTCATAATCCTTTGACAGCCTGATGACTAATCGGGAAAAAACATGATCACCCTTACTACCTTCATTAAATTATTAAAATATTTTGATGTTACGACAGTTCTATCTTCCCTCTTCCTCAGGGGCCTCAGTCGACTATAATCAAGCTACTATAGATCATAGATGCCATAACTGAGCTTCCTAGTTTCCTTTACGCAACAATCGAAAGGAGGAAATATTTCGACCAAACAAATACTGTAATTGTGTATTCTCAGAACATTGTCATAAAGTATGCCACAGAAGATCGAACCTCAGATGGGGACTTTCCATTAAGTTGCGAACTTAAACCCTTAAAATTTAGTATTTATTGGATATCATTATTGGACTTTCGTGTCCGATGTTGTGGAATATGATTACGAAAAAATCAATCGATAGATGTCTGTTGAACTTACTATGATAAACCAACAAGTCTTATGAATGGAGAACAATATAGAGTCGGCGATGGGTTCATATTTCGCCTCAAAAACACTGAAGGGGTTTAGAAGATGCATTGGAGTTCGTTATAAGGTGCTTCCAAATATCATAATATTTGGTTTGTAGTGGAAAGCCACACGAAAAAGCCTGGACTTGTCCTCAATAATCTCTATTTTATATAGAAAGGTTGCCGAAGTTAGCTAAGCGAACTCAATGATATAAAGGAAACTGCTCTACGTTTAATTGGCCTGTTTGGCTAAGTCTTAGCTTAGCCACTAAAAATAATTTAAGTTACCCTAACCGTTCGTGACTATTGATTTTTGATTGGCTGAGAGGTCTCTACACTTACGACCGCACATGCTCTCTAGGGCGATTAGCAACACGGTCGCACTTGTTGACCCCTAGCACGCATGAGATACTTCGATTCAGCCATGCTAGCGTTGTGTTCCTCACAATTCTCCCCCTCTAGTTATTAGGCAGCTCAAAAATGTGTTACTGTACATGACCAACCAGTCAAGGGGGAAAGTAATCCCTCGACAACAACGATTACGTGAAACATTGGTCCGATTTTTTTGGACGACAAGATTAACAGTATCTGAGGACAAGGACAGGAATGTAAGAGTGGAAGGGTGTACGGCATCTTTCAAGGATGAAACAGGAGTATCAGATGTTGTTTTTCAACAGTGGGTGTAAATTCAGTAAGTGGAAGGTTAGAGTGGGCAGAGTGGGCTTTACATCCGGATTGCCTCGGTATACCGGCCTTAACCTATCTATATTTATTGAATGCTTATTACCAATGAATTTGAATTTGCTTTTAAGAACTTTGGAATGTCCATCAAACGGTGGTTCCAAAAGTTTCCTTACGGCATATACTCGTGCCAAAAATAAAAGTCATGCTAATAATTCTTTATGTACTTGTGCTAACATAGTAATCAAATGAGTGGGTATTTAGTGGACGGAACTGAAAAGATATTTTTTATAGAGCTGAATACGAGAGGGTCCATAATTTCTTGGCTATTGAAGTGGAAAATTATTTCTCCAGCTAGCCTGTGAGTTGTACCAAAGGCAAAGTCTACAAGACAACATCCAATGTTTTACCTAATGGTGTTTCTAATTACAAATCTAATGATTGAATGACACTTCCACCAATTTAGTCCAGAAGGGATTGCGATTAAGTCAGATCTAAGCTATTGATAAAAGCGTCCAACGAGGCCATTGGTTTGCATAAAGCCAGGTGTCAATCTAATTGTTCTAGGAAGGTGTAAATCAATGAACTGCGGTTGATTTCATCGAACGATGATCTTTCATTGTTATGCTGGAAAATGAATGCCGAAAATGTGTAAGTGCGCATTCGAAGCACGTCTGAGTATTCTAATCGCCAAAGATATGCAAAACTTGGTTTCTGTTACAATTACCACCATAATAAGTTTATACGCATTCCAATCCTTAATAATTTTACCGAATGGGCTAAGAAATTTCGTCGTCAAGACACCTGAAGAAAATCTTTACCTTCAATGAGAACAGGGCAATTTCAATTTTGTGGCAGTATAAATATACGCATAATCCTTGGTTTTGAAAAAATGATCAACAGCACTCATTTAGACTCAAATATTAGTCCAACTTTCGGCATTTTAAAATAAAATGATGAAATGCTCACATTTGCAACATTCAAAATCTTTAAAGTTAGAATTTTCATGTGATAAATATCCAGAATAATGTCGATATCCAAGTTTATCTCAATTTCTAAGATAGACGGTGAAATGAAAAATTATATGCACCAAAATAAATCATTTGGTAGGATCGTATCGTCGAACCACGCCTGAAATATTACCAATTTGTAAAAACAGATGCATGAATATTACAATGAATAAAAATACTGGAGTATCTATCATATTATTGCTCTCGTTCAAACTTCTATTAATTGGTATGCAAAAAATTTTAATAGATTAGCTAACGGAGAAAATTGAGAATGTTGGAAAAGTTATATATGAAGTGTCAATAATTATTTCGTTTATTTAGGATAAGAAGAAGAAGTTAAAAGTTCATTAAAGTTTAGGGCAAATCTGTGGCCCATAATTGGAGGACCTTTAAATATTAATCGCGTATGATAAAGTTTAGAAATCTCAACAAAAGAACAAATCGTTTTTAAATCAGGTACAATAATAATTTTTAGATTACTTTCCATCATTTTAAATTGTTGATTTTGAAAAATTAAGATAATCGTCAAATTGTTTAAGCTTTGTGAATGATTCAATATGTCTGCACAGGGAAGCTTGTAAAGGGCTATCTATATCTCCTGTATTTGTGGATGATTTATTTTCAGTCTTAGCACGTGATCTATTGGCTCAAGTTACTTAGAAAATAGTAAATATTTTATTATCTTTTTGCTTTTGAGTTTCATGCTTTTTAATAACTGTCTCACATAATAATTATTTTTTAACTATATAGAAAGATGAACGGTGATATTACTAAAATCCCTGTTCTCTCATGTGGAGCCGTAAAACAATTAAGCGATATATTTCCAGAGCTTCCTTTACCTTCTGCATGTACTGACGGTGTAAGCAACGACACGCTAATATGTGACCAGTCTTTGTCCAACGATGTCGAGCAAGCTCTAAATTCTAATAATGAAGCACTAATTTCTAATGTTAGTGATGCTCTGTCTATGGTATCTACTCAAAATATGTAAGTTAATTTTATTTTTATGTTTATCTTTTTCTAAGTGATCTCGTAGATGAAACTGTAGCTATGCCGATAGATAATGCTAACGCTCCTCCAATTTTAAATTTTCTTCTTCAAAGGAATTCGCGTGTTTTCAATCAAGAGTGCGCTAGTTCTTCTCACCCTAATAGGGCAAACTTTAATTTTAATTGGGATCCTCAAGCGAATCCTAATGGATTGAACAATCAGCACATTGGTAGTTTGAATTAAATAATCTAATCTTTGTTGTTAAAGTTTTTGATGAGGATTCTTCAGTCAAACATCAACACAAGAGAAAGAAACGCAAAAGAAGAAAGGTAGGAAACATGGAGCAGGAAATTATAAGTGATGGAGAATCCAATGGCGTTTCAGTGAGTGATTGGGATTCTGGTAGCGATAATGAACCCTCTGCCCGCAAATCCTACGAAATTAAAAACACTGGTGGAGAGGCCCTGAAGTTAAAAATATCTATCAAACGCGCTGCTCCCGTTGAGATCAGTACTTCTGATAACTCCTTGAAGGAACGCAAAGAGAAAAAGCACAAGAAATCGAAGGATAAGAGACGACATCATAGTCGAGATAAAAGCCTTCCATCCAGTGAAGGCCGCTCCGAGCAACCGCTAATTCCACCGACTAATGGAATCCCAATGACTGCTAAACCAATGCTTGTTACTTCTCCTCCTAAGGAAATCTTTAACAGTCAAAGACCTCCGGGTTCTTCCGCTTCACATTCTCCTCATCAATTCCCCTTTGATTTGCAGGGTGTTTTTGATCAGACCAAGCCTGATTTCTCAACATTTCCGATCAATCTTTTTGATGATTTATCTGTCCCTCATTCGAATGCTGCTCCCAATCACTCAATGACGAACTCAGTAGCTGCTCCCTTTTCCTACAATGATTTCCTGCCTCCTGATCTACTTTCCAGTACAAATATTCCTCCTGCCCTTCCGTCGCAACATGCTCACAACCCCTCACCTCAAACCTCTGTGTATCAAGGGAACTTCATGGTGGCTTCTCATCTGGATTATTCAGACAATACCCATCCCGATTATCCTACCTCTTACGGTATTGGTCAGACTACTACCACCGTTGCTCCAATGGGATTGGCTAGCTACCTGAATTCCACTAAACCTCAAACGATCTCTAACAATCCCCCGACATCTCAACCCACCAGCTCTGTTGTACGTTCCTCTGCTCCTGTTAAACCCTCAGCAAGACGAAGGCCACCTGTCCCAAAACGTGTGTCTTTAACCAATCTTCCCATTGCTTAAAAAATGTTTTTTTATAAAGCTCTTGATTTTTCACTTTTAGGACGTCGAGCTAATGAAGTGGAAGGATTGCGTTCGTGGACTGTAAAGTACCCGGGACAGAAGAATCCTACTGAGAAAAATGCTACTGCTGACGAGTCTTCTGCTTGGGATGCAGTTGTTGATCGACAGGCTAATTACCTCCGAAAAAAACGACGATTAACTAGACAACCCACTGCTCTTGCTAATGACTATGTGCTGGAGAATGATAAAGATTATCCCAAGTATGTACCTTTGTCGTATTTTTTTACGCTATGGCACTTTTTTAACCATTTTGATCCCGTAGGCCTCTTACAAGAAGGAATAGTTTCGGAGATAATGACGTTGACGAAAGTGGGATTGGAGGTGACAACGATGATACCGATGATCACTTGGATCCTGAAGGTGGAAAGGGGGTCGCTAGTATTTCTCTGCGCTCCTCTGCTGCCCGCTGTTCATACGCCGGAATGGATGAAGAAGGCGAGGATATACCCGATGAGGAATGCTACAAAGATAGCAGCACTCGAAGACGTCGCAAAGCTACTGACGATGATGACGCTCCGTTTGAGGGTTAGTTGTTCTTTTTTTTGGGCATGGGCTTAGCAACTTAAAATTTGGTTTTAGGGTGTTGTTAAACGTACGTCCATAAAGTACTCTTTTTTTCCTATCGACAGAACAAGTGGTTTTCATCGAATAGATATATCTAGTTGATTGTCCTTGAGTTAATCTTATACTTATCGAGTTCTTTAGAATTTGGTGTTGGTTTTAAAGAGAATACCTTTTTGGTGTGTAGCTTCATTGTATGGCTAATTTTGTCCTTTTACATAAATGTCTCTACCAATTCTTAAAATGAAAATGATATTTCGGTAATCACTGATTTTCTTTTTCAAAACATTCCGTTGTTTGCACTATTTTAAGTATTTCCCGCAATAGTGTGTAATTGAATTTGCCACTTTGTATCTTTGGGGTTAAATATTTTCCCTTCTGATGATAATCTAAGTTCCATGCTTCTCAAGGCCTCGCATTTATGACGGCTTTTAAAACTGATTTTTATCATATCTTTTGCACTATTGTAAAAAGTCATATTATAATCAACTTGAACAAACTGGACTTTAGTAATAATGAGACATTCGATAATTGCTAGTTGGTTTATTGATATTTAGGATTCTTTCATTGAAAATTGGAAATTATTTGGACGTATTCGACTTTCCACACACTTGTTTATAATTTTGCTCAGCAATTCTTTAAGGGAACTAATTCAATAACCAGACACCTTTATTTTTTTAGTTCGGATTAAAGAGCCTGCTGAACAACGTTTTCCTCATTTGCAAAAAGTCACCGCGGACCGAGCGCGTCCTATTAGAGAGCGAGTACATCACAAACCCCTAAACGCCTATTCTGAGGTATTAGGTGGGGAATCTGCCTCCGCAAGCAGTTTGAAAAAATTCCTTTCCCACATTGACCATGTCTTAGAGGCTGTCGAAGAAGTGGACCTTTTAGCTGGAGGTGAAAATGACGATGGAATTCCACAGGAAGCCATAATTTCTCCCGCAGATATTGCGGAACTTGTTCGAGACTCTGCCAAATTAAAGAGTATTCAGGCTGCAAATCAAGTACCTACTGACCGTCTACTCAAACTTTTAACTCTCCTACTTCTTAACATTCGAGATGGTGTAAATGTGGTTCGAATTACTGGTGATCAAGAGAGCATGGAGAAGATATCACGAGCTGTGGGAGCGAGCCTTATTGCACTGAACCTCATGACGTCTAAAGACATGCCTCGTGAAATCTACTTAGAAGATGTGATTGAACAAGCTGTGCAAGTCACTCGGTTCCAGCTCTCTAATTGTATATACCCTGAGTATGATCCAGCCTATAGAATTGAGAACACAGCCAAGGATAATCAAAGTAGCATTAAATCTCGTCGTGCTCGTGAAAGGGATATTCATAAATCCACGGCAGTTGTTCATCTCTATCATCGACTAGTTGAAGTTGTTTCGGGTCTTTCTGAACTTGTGCATATCCAGCGTTTAACCGACAGTCTCATTCTCTCGCTCTGCACTGTCGGTGTATCAATCTTCTTTGTGGAAAATGTTAGCGAGTTGCAGCTATCGGGATTGAAATTAGTCCCGGCCTTGTATGCTCACTACCATATGTGTCGTCAATTAGTCACCGAAGAGTTGATATCAGGAATAGCGCGCTTACCTTCAAGCAAGCGCAACCTTCGCACTTATCGCTTGAACTCAGAGGAAAGTATTCAAATGTTCACAGCGTTATCACTTCTACTTGTACAGTCTCTCATTGAGCTGCCAACCGTTCCCAGTTTCGGTCAACAGTCAAAAGACAAACAACAACAGGAGTATCTTGAACAACATCAAAATTCCTCTGCTGTTGATTCAACTTCATCGTTGCATGAAATTAAACCCGATGATGAAGTTCTTGTTGTCAGCTCCTACAAACGGGCTGTACTTACTGCACACAATTTTCTTGCTAGCTTTCTCAGGAAGTAAGTCTTTAGAATTTTCGAATGTGCTTAATATCATTTGAATTATATTCAATGTATGACTTTCGTCCTCCTCTCTGTTGTCTCATAATTTTAAGATAGGTAAAATTCCGTGTTAACTGGTATATGTACTAAAAAAACTTATTTTGATTTGTACATTTGAATTGCAATCATTATACTCATATTAATTCATTGTCTTTTGCCTCGAATACAATCTCATTGTTTAATTGCATGTCTAATTATCACTTGCATATGTTGATTTTCGTGAATACTATCAGATAGTTTTCCCCTTTGGATACCAATTAATAAAGCTTCATAATGCTGAATCGAGTGACCTACTTTTTCGCCCCACCTACCTGAAATACGATATAGTTCATGCTTAAACTGGGAATTATGAAGAATGATAATCGAATGATGCTCTTTCCTACAACTTAGTATCCACTCCTGTCGCCCAAACATTAGGACTGTTCCAGACTAAATGCGCTTGATACTCGTGGATGTCTCCGTATAATATGTCCGTTTATAAAGTTAATGTTCAGTAATCACTTTGGGGAAAAAATAAATGGTGATATAGCTGTGAGGATATTATTTAAGGAGGTGTTGTCGATGAGATTCTGGATATTTAGCCACTTCTCAATTCGAAGAATATAGATTTTGCTTTTTGAAGACACTCGTATAAAATGTAGTATCAATGTTGAAGTTAAGCCCAGTGGCTATTTGTCCCCAGAGTTGCTATTTGTGCTCTTTTTAATGTATAAAATATTCTACGATAGGTCCACAACAAGAGGCGAAGATGACTACCGAATGATATTTGAGAACTTTGTGAATGATCTCCTCTTAACTGTGAACAAACCGGAGTGGCCAGCTGCTGAAGTTATGTTGAGTCTCCTTGGTAGTCTCTTAGTTCAACAGTTCAACAATAAGTCCCTCGACCAATCTGTTCGGGTTACCAGTGTAGACTATCTCGGCACAGTCGCGTCAACGCTTCGTCGAGATGCTGTGACGAGTCAACTGAAAGAACACGACATTGACGTTATTCTTCGAGAACTCACTGAAGGTAGTCAATCAGATAGTGAGGACGAAGAAGAATTGGGCGGGGAGCAAGAGGACGAAAGTCACAAAATCGAAAAAGGGACTTCTTACTTAAAACCCGAAGAAGGGCAGCAGAAACCCTCCACGAA